TTCGACATATTGCATCGCGTTATAAATAACTTATCTGCTTTATAAATATCTTGTTTACCGATGATTAAAATTTATCATTAAGAATCATATGATGTATGATTTTCTCATCAGTGTTACAATAAATCACTTTACTACTATTTCCAATTTTCTATCAATGTCCCAACTGTTTATGGTCCTTTATTTTCAAATATGGATTAATTCGTAATTATTACACTAATCAAAGATTTAAGACGATTTCAATTTCAATTTCAATCTTTTCGCATAAGGACGAAATACTATCGAGTGATCTATCCATTCAGCATCCTCGACATTGAATCGTAGACGGACGATGACAGTCGAGAGAATCGAACGGACGGTCGACGAATTCCTTCGGACGAATTTGGCTTCGGATTCTATGCCCGTCTCGGATTTTGTCAGCTAATAATAGTTCGGTAGCGCATACCGAAGAGCTACTATCTTTTCGACGATGTCGAAAGTTTGCTTGTTTTCCTCGTCAGCGCTTATGTATCAAGCTATGAATAATAATAATTGTTCATTGAAGCATTCGATTTCAATAAAATATAAACTTCGCGCTTCTTCTTAATACAAGCTTCCACGAGGATGCAAATGTAATATGTTCGTAGAATTGTGTAAGAGATGTGTTAACGAGATGAATTGTTCAAATGACACACGCACAGTGACCACATTGCCATTTAGTTTCCGATCTAATGCTAATCGCTCATCAGTCTATAAATTAAAATAATCGATTATCAATGTCATTATCGCGAATAAACTCATACGTAATGTGATGACAGGTGACCATGAATAAAAAATTGTTATATTAATAAGCGCCTCTCGTGATTCTCGTCATTATTTTCTCCTGTTTGTATAATTGAATAGTTTTTACAATAACAAATAAATATTAATTATTTTAATAAATAAAAACTGCTGATTAAATATATATATATATATATATATAAAACAAGGATGGATAATTAATTAATTAGATATTAAATAATAAAGTTAAAAAGTTAATAACTTGTAACTTTATCAAATTAAATTCAAGACACTGACTTAACTCTTAACATCAATGAATTACCTCTTGAAACGGATTAACTTTTAATTCCATAATTTTGATTTTTACCATGCGTTCCGATCGCTTTTTATTCTAGTTACAATATTCGCCGCCAGGGCGTTAGTGTACAGAGAATTTTTCAACTATTGAAATCTGTTGAGACTACAAACAAACGTCATCGACGCGTAACACATGGTTACGTACGCTACGTTGACCATGAAGAACAATATGAAAAACAATAATGTTAAAGGTAAGAATCGAGCAGTGAAGAAAGATGAAGAAAACAAGCATCATGAAAAAAAGTTCGACAAGAAGAAATATAGGTTACAAAAGTACAGCAATAAATATAAAAGTATGTATACAAGTGCAAGTATGGCAAATAGGTTAAGTTTTCAGTTCATTCAATGTTTGTTTTTTTGCGTTAGTCAAACAATGGGAAGAAAGGCGAAAGAAAGCTGTGTTACGTGGATTCTACAAGGAACTTGAGAAAGACCAGCAAAATTCTACACAGACGCTGTTAAATTCGAGCAGTACATCCAAGAATGTGAACGAAACAACAGAGTAAACATAGAATCTTTTAAATCGCTCATGTCTATTTCTATCGATTCGGATTAGCCTTAATCTTGATTTAACATATTTTCCGTCTATGAAATAAAGAAAGATAAGGATTAAATCAAGATTAAACTAAATCGAAATTAAATGGTATTGATTGAAATGGTACTGACTTGATCAAATATATTTATACTATATATATTTATACTATATATTTATACTATTTATATTTTAGCAAATTCAAGAAGAAGGGCTATGCCTTTTTCAAGGCTAAGCAGGAATACCGGCGCAAGCAGGAAGAAAAGAAAAAGAGGATAGAAGATGCTGCTCGCATGAAAGCAGAACGAGAAGAAGCTATGAAAAACTATCGAGAGAAAAAAATGCGTAATTTCAAGATATTGTCGAAAAGAACGAAGAAAGGACAGCCTGTTATGAAAGGCAGAATAGAAATGTTACTGGAAAAGATACAGCAAAGTGTAACGTGATCTGCAATCACACATCTTCTGGTTAAATTAATTTAATTGTAACAAGGAACAAGATTACATCGTGCATTGTAACATAATGAAATATTTTCTAGAGAAAGACTAGAATATTTTCGCTTTTGTACATGGATGTATATTTTAAATTACGTGTGTCGTATAAGAATATATTCCACTTTTTTTAACAATTTTTCTTCAAGCCTCGTTAAATTTTGGAGATTTCTTTCAATTCCGTTATATTATCATTTTTCATGTAACTCTCACTTGCGAATTCAAATATGAAAGATAGCTTCGCATAGCTATTAAATTATAGTAAAATGGAATAATGGAAATTGTTGAAATAAAATAAATAGAATCAAGTAAAACGATAACTATGAAATTTTTAACTCCTTGAACCTCAAAATGATGTGCGATAATTCCACGAAATAAATTCTATTTTTTGTGATAAATGCTGGAATGATGGAAAAAATTATTCTTGCAATTTTCCTTTCGTAATTAATTATGAGTTAGGCCACGGATGGACGGGAAGCGGAGAAGCCGAGAAGCCAACGGTGCCCTTTTCACGGCGATCAATCGATAGCATCGGCAGAGGCAGAGAAGCGGTCGTTCGAAATACGTAATTCCACGCGCCAGCGTGGATCGCGCGTGCGCGCTGGCATTTCGACGGACGGCCGCCCGCACGCCGCTCGCTGCGCGGCGGCCAGTCGACGACGACGGTTGCAAATGGCGACAGCCACGAAGTCTCTGTCTCTGGCACGGGCTCGCGAATAGTTCCACGCCTACCGTGCGCCCCGCGAGCGAGCCGTGCGCGAAACGCCAGCCCCCCCAGCGCCCAAATCGGTACGTAGACTTGAGGCCGAAACTCGGCGAGCCCCCGCGCGAACTCGCGGGCGCCCTTGAAATCCGGTGGAATCCGCTCCGGCGACGGAAAGGACGAGATAGAGGATTGCCACCGGATTGCCGTCTCTCTCATCTCGTCCCTTCTTTCGAGATACCGTTCCTTCCCGTCCTCGATCGATACGCCGCTCGCGATCGTCGGCCTTCGCGTCGCCGGATCCCCATCCACGATGTCGATCCGGGAGACGGGACGGTACGGTACGATACGGTACGATACGGTACGATACGGTACGATACGGTACGGTACGATACGGTATACGGTACTCGCGTACGTGTCTCCCCTTCTTCCCTTCGGACGGAACCGCTCCGTTTGTTCCCGGGCGCGCGGCGCGCCGCTGTCAAGACTCGTTGTCAAAACTCGGTGCCCGGTAAACGCGGAACGCCGGCTCTGCGATCGCTCGACGGACATTCCGTGTCGTGTCGGACGATCCGTAGTAGTCATGCTCGGTGCAACGTCGAGCTGTCGAGCGCGCCGAGATGTAGCCTGAACTTTACACTCCGCGATTTCGCCTTAACGCCACGTAACGTACGACCGCTGCGGTTTTCCCGATAACAGCACGCCCGGAAAGAAAGGAAAAAGAAACTATTTCGGTTTTATTGATAGTAAAAGACGCCGCATACCGGGGCGATCTAAGGAACGCGCGATAGGAGGAGCGACCGCGGTACCCCGTCCCTCCGTCTGTTGCGTCACGACGTTTTTAGTGAGCGAAACAAATACCAATTACAGTATATCTGCGTCGGAGCGCGATCTAAGCATCTCAGATTGGAGGGGAATGAACGTCGAGTGTCCTCACATCCTCGGTCTCATTCATTCGCAGGTAGTTTTAAGCAAAACGAGGCAAGATGCCGGCCGTCAGAGGAGATGGTATGCGTGGACTGGCGGTATTCATATCGGACATCAGGAATTGTAAGTGACTCGTCGTGCCAGTGTTTTACGTTCTGTTAAATTATCTTTTTTTTTCATGTTCCGTTAATACATTAAATTATACGATACGAAAATTGTTGCAAATTGTTATAAATTGTCCTTCCTGTAAACGCGTCAATCTTGCATTTGGCGTTATAACAATGACATTTCATTCGTGGCGATACGTGTCACTGAAACACAGAAAGGCAATGCGTTTAACGCAGAGAGGAGCAAGAGAAAGGGGGCGGTGTTCTGATACAGGCCTATCTTCTTGATATCGAGCTTGACTCTTGAACATCAATCTGTAACACATTGGCATATTAGCTAAAAAAAAAAAAAAAAATTATTAAAAGCAGAATTCCCTTGAAACACAGGCGCAATTGAATACAGTTTTATATTTATATATTTTATTTATTTATAACTATTTTTGCATCTCTCAGATAAGAGTATTGTCCTTGGTATTCAGCCAGTTGGCAATTGCCATCATTTTTTATATCAAATATTTTTACTCCTATTATTTCTGATCAATATTTGCAATAAAAATTTCAATATTTATAACAAAAATATATATGTTGTATTAATACGTATGTTTGCATGTATGATTCTATTAATGATTACAGTTTTATAATTTTATAAAAGATAAAAAATGTATACACCTTTGTGATTTTTCTCTTTTTCAAAATATTATTAGGCAAAAGTAAGGAGGCAGAAATTAAGAGAATTAACAAGGAACTAGCAAATATTCGCAGTAAGTTTAAAGGAGACAAAACGCTCGATGGATACCAAAAAAAGAAATATGTTTGCAAACTGCTGTTCATCTTCCTTCTCGGCCATGACATCGACTTCGGGCATATGGAAGCTGTTAATCTACTTTCATCAAATAAGTATTCGGAAAAACAAATTGTAAGTACGATTGTTCTTTCAGGCTATCCACAATAACAATACATCTTATCATCTTATTATAATTTTAGGGGTATCTTTTCATATCGGTCCTAGTGAATACTAACAGCGATCTGATCAAGTTGATCATACAAAGTATAAAAAACGATCTCGCTTCACGCAATCCGATTCATGTCAACTTGGCATTGCAATGCATCGCCAATATCGGCAGCAAGGAAATGGCAGAAGCCTTCGGCAATGAAATTCCCAAATTGCTCGTCTCAGGGTACGATATATTTGTCGCTGCATTAAGTTTCTACCAGCCAAACCGATAGTTTATATCGGCTTTTTGCGTTTAGTCTCACAATAATATCTATTCTCCAGTGATACCATGGACGTTGTGAAACAAAGTGCTGCGCTGTGTTTGCTACGTCTATTGCGGACCGCTCCCGACGTCGTACCTGGTGGTGAATGGACGTCGCGCATAGTTCATTTGTTGAATGACCAACATCTGGGTGTCGTAACGGCCGCGGCGTCGCTCATAGACGCTCTCGTGAAAAGGAATCCCGATGAGTACAAGGGTTGCGTTAGTCTTGCGGTTTCGAGATTAAGTAGGGTACGTTACGAAAATATAAATAGATCAACCATATAAAAATACAGATGTTTGACTTGATTTTTTTTCATAATTATAGATTGTTACATCGAGTTATACAGATCTGCAGGATTATACATATTATTTTGTACCAGCCCCATGGTTATCTGTCAAGTTACTACGTTTGTTGCAAAATTATACGCCACCAGGTATTTAATCATATATGAAATACTTTGTACATGGAAACTCGATATGTTGCATGATACATTTATTTTTATATGCAAATCTACGTTTATTTTGGCAGCCGAGGATCCTGGGGTAAGAGGCAGATTGAACGAATGTCTAGAAACTATATTAAATAAAGCTCAAGAACCACCAAAGTCAAAGAAGGTTCAGCATTCGAACGCGAAGAACGCTGTACTCTTTGAAGCTATTAGTTTAATTATTCACAACGATAGCGAACCGAATCTCCTCGTACGAGCATGTAACCAGCTTGGCCAATTTTTATCGAACCGTGAGACCAATTTGCGATACTTGGCACTCGAATCTATGTGCCACTTGGCTACTTCGGAATTCTCGCACGAAGCCGTAAAGAAACACCAAGAAGTAGTCATATTATCGATGAAGATGGAGAAAGATGTCTCTGTGAGACAGCAAGCGGTAGATTTATTATATGCCATGTGTGATAAAAGTAATGCCGAAGAAATTGTTCAGGAAATGCTAAATTATCTAGAAACGGCTGATTACTCGATTAGAGAAGAAATGGTTCTTAAAGTAGCGATTTTAGCGGAAAAATATGCGACTGATTACACCTGGTACGTCGATGTTATCCTAAACTTAATTAGGATAGCAGGCGATTACGTCTCTGAAGAAGTTTGGTATCGAGTTATTCAAATTGTTATCAATCGAGATGATGTTCAAGGTTATGCTGCGAAGACCGTCTTTGAGGTAAATTACATAGTTTTCTTTTCTTAGTTTTGTTAAAAAATTATCTGATGTTTTACGCATATGTTGTATATTGCAGGCATTACAAGCACCCGCTTGTCACGAAAATATGGTTAAAGTCGGCGGTTATATACTTGGAGAGTTCGGCAATCTCATTGCTGGTGACCAACGATCTTCTCCAGGTGTCCAATTTCAATTATTACATTCCAAAGTAAGTGTCTTTCTATTTAATAAAGTTTCATAAAGTGCACGTATATGTATTATAAATATATTTTTTATAGTATCATTTATGTTCTCCTATGACTCGAGCGTTGCTGCTCTCAACGTACATAAAGTTTGTTAATTTGTTCCCTGAAATACGAAGTCAGATACAAGATGTCTTCAGGCAGCATAGCAACCTGCGTAGCGCAGACGCTGAGCTGCAACAGAGAGCATCAGAATATTTACAATTGAGCATTATTGCTTCAACTGATGTCCTGGTATGTATAATGTATGCAACGATTGCAAAGTATGAAACATGTATTATCGATGCGTTATTCGTTATGCGTTATGCGTTATTTTCATAGGCCACTGTATTGGAGGAAATGCCGGCATTCCCCGAGAGAGAGTCCTCTATTCTTGCAGTTTTAAGAAAAAGAAACCAGGTCGAGTACCGGAGAATGAAATTAGGGAGAGTAAGAGCCCAGCGCCAAACGCTAATCATCACACTGAACCTCCCGCTGTTGCTACAGTTACCGCGACAGTTAACAATACTTCTGCTGATTTGCTAGGATTGTCAACTCCACCTTCCTCTCAACCGTCTAGTAATACAGGCGTGTTGCTCGATGTTTTGGGAGACATTTATAATATGCCAAATAAACTTGGTGCTACCAACGGCACTCAGAACACGTACAATCCTAAAAAGTAAGAAATATGCACTCACAGAGATTTTTTTTTATATAATTTAAATATTGTAATATTTGTAATAATTATTGTTTTGATTTGATTTTTCTTAGGTTTGTTTGTAAAAATAATGGTGTCTTGTTTGAGAACGACTTGATACAAATTGGTGTAAAATCGGAGTTCAGACAAAATCTTGGCCGTGTAGGTCTTTTTTATGGAAACAAAACTCAATATGCTTTGCACAGTTTTCAACCGCAGCTATCTTGGACAGATGAGAATCAAGCGAAATTAGCTGTACAAGTGAAACCTGTTGATCCTATATTAGAGGCTGGCGCTCAAATTCAGCAAATGATCAATGCAGAATGTATCGATGACTATAGTGGTATGTTAATATTTTTACAAATTTTTAATAATTTAAAAATTAAAAACCTCTAAACATCTTCCATTATACGAAATATACTTTTTTTTATATAGACGCACCGAGCATGCTTATCTCCTTCATTTACAACAATGTGCCACAAAAAATCACAATGAAGTTACCATTAACAATCAATAAGTTCTTCGAGCCGACAGAGATGAACGGAGAATCATTCTTTGCAAGATGGAAAAATCTTGGCGGGTATGCGACATATAAGCACAATTTATTTAATACTAAGAGATGAAATCAGTATGAATAGTCCCTTATATTGCGTATTGAATCTATTTTCAGGACAAATCAACAACGATCGCAAAAGATTTTCAAAGCGCAGCAACCGATGGATCTGACGCAAGTACGTACGAAACTACAAGGTTTTGGAATGCAGTTACTCGATGGCATCGATCCGAATCCTGATAATTTTGTTTGTGCTGGTATCGTTCATATGAGAGCGCAGCAAGTGGGTTGCCTGTTGCGCCTTGAACCTAATAAACAAGCACAGGTAATTCATCAGAATTATCGTTTTTCAACGTTCGTAATTGTAATAATATTGTAATAATAAACATGATGTGCAGCTTTATTTAATTGTGTACTTTCTTGCTTGCAGATGTTTCGTTTGACAGTACGTTCAAGTAAAGAATCGATGTCGGTAGAGATCTGTGACCTGCTGGTGGACCAATTTTAAACGGCCTAGCAGGCGTAAATATTATCGAAAAATTAGCGTTACGTCGTGAGAGGACATATCACTATTCAACGAGGATGTCATCTCGCGTCGTTCAAAAAGATACTGATGGTTATTTGTTAAGAAAATATTTGCGTTGTACCCAAGCTTACACTCATAACGCTCTTATATAAGATCTATATCTTCGTGTAGATAGTTTCTCTCGTGTCACTACATCATTTTATCGACGAGGTATGAGTTTGAATCAGAACTATCAAAATCAGATACAGAAAGAACGAGAATATACATATGAACTGGCTATGATGGACAGTATTATCTCATAATCGAGGGTATTAAGGTGTGGATCTATTTTGAGTGCATTTACATCTAATGTTACAATCTATAATTTAAGTGGATGAAACGAGGATGCGAAATGAAAAAAAAAAATAAAAAGCTAGATATTTTAGCTATTGATATTTATGTACGTAGTAACACTCGAGCCGCATCATAGAGACAAAGCATATAAGATTTTTTTTTTTTTATTGAGTTTTATAACACGTCTCCCTCCACATGTTAAAATTTATATAATTTTTAACATTGATGAATCACTGAGTTTCGATTGTTGAGAGTGAAATGTTCACCTTTGTATATCGTTTTATTTTATACCATTTTTGTATCTACCTACGCGTCCTGAATTTCGTTTGAATTCATGAATTATTTGCATTGATATTTTGCCATGAGATTGCCGCGTGAGCGAGAGTAGATTTGGGCACAATGACAGTAGTTGTATAATATGAGCTATTTGTCTATAGATATCATTATATTTAACGGAGCTGCGAATTAATTGTGTATAATGAGTAGTTTATATTTAATTGTCTTTGTCTTGATCTTTATTTCGAATCAATGTCCTAGATTTTCTATATTCTATATCGTTGATATCGATGTATAAATCCATGGCTGGTTATTTCTAGATTTCCATAATTAGATCGGAGGTATATCGTTAATTAAAATCTATATGTTCGCAGGTTAATTATTTGTAATTGTAGAATTACATTTTATTATCTTCAGAGTGTTGCGTATAAGATGTGTATATTTCAGTAGAGTGTTTACTCTGTACAGGTTATATTTACTAATGCGTTAAATTTTGCGGAATACATTTTATAATAATAACAGGGGGAAGAGCAGCTCTATGAATTAAATTGCTTTATAACGATCGATGACATATTATCGATTTTATAAAGCTTTACACAATTGTACATACATGAAATTTGAATTACAAATGGCTATAAACATTTACAACATAGATTGCGCTATTCATAGCCATACGAGCTCAAATTTATGTCTTACTCGTCATTTATGCTTTATTTTTCAGGGAAGTAAGATGTACATTTTTCATATTCATATAGTGTAAATTTATGTCTAATATTCTCATTATATTCCTTTTCCTTTAGATTATGTATATTATATTTTAATTATAGTACACATAGGTCGAGAAAACACGGTACTATCAGTTTTTCTTTTTTTACATCTTGATTTATTATGTAATGAGGTTTTATCTTTTCCTCTTTCTAAAATTATTATTTTATGATTTGACAGGATATTTCATCGTTAAATATACAATTGTCGCTAACTCGTAAACATAATGTAAAGCGAAACATGAGTAAAATGAAACATTTTATATTTTTATTCTTCTTGTTTACAACAATTAATGTGTCATTAACAATTATAAAAATGGTGTTTCATTTAAATTATACATTGTTATAAAATTTAATCTACAGTACGGATAATTTTAATAACAGTACGGATGTATAATTAAGTTAAAAATATAATTTATAAATTGCTATTAGAAAAAGAGAAAGAAAGAGAGCATAATAATTTTCATATCATAAAATGTATATCATAAAATTATCTTTTTTATCTATAAATGTAATATATTTGTATAATTTATATATTCGATATACTGATGAAATTTTAATTACATTTTAATTTTTTATCAGTCTAGAGATAACGATATATTTATGCACACATGTACACACATACACACACACACACACACACACATTATAAAGTTTGATCAAATAAGATATATTAAAATTACATTAAAATTTTATTTAGAAAATCAAGAAGATTCTATAAAAATTATATATAAATGATTATTTTTCAATACAATTATTATTATATGCATTGAAATATCTATATATCTTTTAAACAGTCCTTCTCTAATAGTTATTTTGTCCGAGATT